TTCTTTCTTCTATATATATAAAATGGCTGTGTGTGTGTGTGTGTGTGTGTGTGTGTGTGTGTGTGTGTGTGTGTGTGTGTGTTTTCCAGCATAACTCTGGAATATCTCAAGCAATTTTAACCAAACTTGGTGCACAGATGACTTACTCTCTGGAAACAAATACTGTGGGGATAAGACACCCCTAACACCCCTTGAGGTGTGTGTTCTGTTAAGATACACTCTGTTGTGCCTTAAAACGGCTACTACTATACTGCCGTAAAATGGCTTCTACTGTGCAGCACAGTGGAGGTGCCATGGTAATGGCTTCACATATTCCACAAGGGGGCTCCCTCTGGTAAGGGGGAAAATCCAACATTAGAAATTTCCTTTGGTCCAGACATTTTTCCCCTATAAATAAATACCTAGGTAACGCCGGGTTATCAGCTAGTATAAAATAATAGAGCTGGAAGGGACCTCGGAGGTCTTCTAATCCAACCCTTTGCTCAAGCAGGAGACCCTCTATCGTCCATTCTCTCTTTGAAAGCCTCCAGTGATGGAGCAGCTGCAACTTCTGGAGACAAGTTGGTGAATTGCTCCCACCGTGAAAAAAGTTCTCCTTAGATCTAGGTTGCTTCTCCATCAGTTTCCATCTGTTACTTCTCCTCTTGCCTTTCAGTGCTTTGGAAAACAGTCCGGCCCACCTCGTCTTTGTAGAAGCCCCTCAAATGTTGGGGTAGTGCTACCGTGTGATTGCTGCCCCATTATTTAATTTGTCCCATTAATCCTCTGTCTTTATTTCAGTGTCGACCAGGTGAAAGGAGTCCTAACCCTCCAGGGAGATGCTTTGTGTCAAGCGGTGAGTTCACTGCAGGCTTTCTTGCTGGGAAAGAGAGAAGGAGAGAGGGAGAGAAACAGAAACAGAGAATAAAACTGAGAGAAAGAAATAGGTAGGTAGGTAGGTAGGTAGGTAAGTAAGTAAGTAGGTAAGTAGGTAGATTAGGTGTGTGGATGGATGGATGGATGGATAGGCGATAGATAGAAACACATATATGGGAGAAGGAGCTGACGTTGCGATGACACGACATGCGATCTTGGAGTTCCAAGATCGCAGTCGATATTTTTGCCACTGGACGGTCCTTTTGGACCTAAACTGTCCCGAAGAGACGGTGACAGGGAAGAGTACGTCCTGCTGATCTCGGGGACACCGCAAAGTCCCTGATTGATCCAGGAGAATCTCTTTTGCCAGCGACAGAAGCGCAGCTATTGAAGCTGCTGAAGTCAGGACAGCTCCAAAACGGGAGGAAAAAGGAAAGAGAAAGTGTGTCCATCTGGTGAGGAAGTTGTATTATTATAAAAGAGACTACCCCCCAAAAAATTAAAGCTAAATTAAATTTGAAAACAGAAGAGAACAAGCAGTAAAATTAAGCTACATTAGACAGTGTTTTATCCTTTTTTTATTTTCTTTTACGGATGGAACTTTTGCAAATGTTTGCAAATGTTTCCTATTCTTTAAATTGAATGGATTAGTTTTTCTTCTACTTTTTATATTCTTTTTTTTATACCTATGGATTAAAATCTTTTTCCTTATTTTTATAATGCTGGATTGGATAGTTTCTTTTTGCGCTATTTAAGAATTAATTTTACTTTAAGCTTGGAATATAAAGAAGATATAAAAGGAATACAAAAAGTAGAAGAAAAACTAA